TATTTATCATTAATATTATTTTACGAAAACTGCACAACTAAAACAGATGGTGGAAATGGCTATCATGTCATGTCATTTAGCTACATTGCAAGTTACTCTGCAAGAGGTAAGCTAGCACAAAAAGGACAAAGGGGGAGAGAAAAGCCAAAGAAGGGAGGGGAGCAAAATGTTAGGCCTAAGTAAATGTTTTGGAAGTGATTAACACACAAGTATTCACTCATTCAACAAATATTTACTGACCACCCCCTGTGTTTTCAGGCATCATATGAAATGGTACGGATAGGCACGAAAAGCTTGACAAGAGAAATTTCAAATGCAGAACAGAGATAGTATCGAAAAGTAAGGACGAATCAAAACTTTTTAACTACTTTCTGGGTGATACAGGAGATAAATATACACATCAAATTTTCTAAAGGGCACAAAATATGGTGAGTTTATGAGATGTTTACAAGGAGTAAAAGCAATAGCAACAGAAAAGGTTTCTGGTGTGGGAGCAGTAAGTAGGGAGAAGGGAGAAAAGAATGCTCTATGAAAGTCTAGAAGTCTGTTTATTTAACATCCCTTGAAGGAAACGTGACAAAATTGAGTTTAAATTGAAATCATTTTCTTAAGTAGAGTTAACAAACTAAAGCACACTAAAAGGTTTTTTAAAAAGACTTTTTATCCTTTTAAAGCTAAAAGAAATTATAAAGAACATCTAATCCAGAACTTTAATTTTGTCCATAACTGAGGTCTGAAGAACAACCTTCCTGATGTCACATGGCGATAAATTTATTATTTTTAATCCTAATTTAAAACATATATACAGCGGTGCCTGAGTTTGAGCCCTGTGTTGGGCTCTGTGCTGACAGCTCAGCACCTGGAGCCCCTGCTTCAGATTCTGTGCCTCCCTCTCTCTCTGCCCAACTTGCACTCATGCTCTATCTAGCTCTCTCAAAAATAAACAAACATTAAAAAAAGAAAATATTTAAAAATATCTATAGAAAAATTAAATATTCCATATTGGTTGAAACTTTTTAAAAAACTCACACAGACTAGATCCATTCAATACTTTGGTGAGTATTAATTCTACATTGTGTGAGAGAAAGAAAAAGAGAGAGAGGTTGGGTTGGGTTGGATGAATAAATAGAAAACATTTCCACACAAGAACAGCATCATTCTAATCAGTGTTTTGTTAAGTCCATAACTATAATATTTTTCTATATCCATAAGTATACATAACTTTAAAAAAAATTATTATGAACTGGACACAGCAACCAACTGTTCCTTTGTAAATTGTTTATACTGATGAATTTTAAACAACAAGGAATATTTAAATATTGTGCAAATGAGCACACCAGTAATAGTGGAAATAATAATATAACTGAAAAGTTGTGAACACTGCCACAGGTCTAATAATGAGACTATATACGTCTCCTCAATTTTTATACATATATAAAATGAATGGTATGAATTTAAAGATCTTTAAAGTTCTTCTGAACTCTAAAACTTTACAATTCTGTGCATATTTTATCCATCTTTCTATAGTTTTTCATAAAACTTCCCATAATAACTATTTTTCAATAAATTTCAATTCCTACTTTATTCCTACTTCATTCAAGAACAGTTCCATATGTAAACAGCATTGTGGAAGGTTTTAATTTACATAAGCATATTTAATGCTTACAACAACTCTGCAATGTAGAAAACATGAAAATTAAGTAATTTGTTGAATATTCCATAGGTGGTAAGTAGAAGGGAAAGAATAAAGACTCCTGGTCACACGATCCCAAAGATTCTGCTCATTTCATCAAGTTGCCTTTCTTAATATAGTCACTGATGCATTTATTAAGCATCTATTGTAACAACAGCAGGATTACTGTACTAGGTAAACATCCATTTAAAAGGACTGAGGAAATACACACTAGGACTGATAAAGCAAAGTTCCACACCAGTGTAAATACTGAAACTATGTAGGACAACAAATCAGTAAATATTAGGTTAAGAAAAAACAAACCTAATCTTAAAAGTGAGGGATGGAAAAAAAAATAGATCTGAGTTTAGAACCATGCCAACTGACTAAGTGCTGAATGCAAAATTTTCTACCTTTTTTAAAAAAAAAAAGTTTATTTATTTATTTTGAGAGTGAGAGAGTGAGCTGGGGAGGGGCAGAGAGAGAGAGGGAAACAAGAGAATCCCAAGCAAGTTCTTCACCGCTAGTGCAGAGCCTGATGTGGGGCTCTAACTCACAAACCCTGAGATCATGACCTGTGCTGAAACCAAGAGTATGCTTAACCGACTGAGCCACTCAGGTGCCCCTCTACCTTTTTGGTTTTTAATCAGTTTGTATTTTGGTATGGCTTTGTGGCCTATTTACTTAAGAGAGATGGTTCATAATAATTTCATGTTGTTTGAATGCTAACAATAAGAGTGATTTTAGAATAGCTTTTAAAGTTTTGGTGAAACTTGAAGAGAAAAGATACAGATCTTACAAACAACTTTTAGCTCACTGGGAAGAAAGTTTCTTCATTAATAATGAGAAATATTTGCTACTACCATCATATAATTCTTTCAAAGGGTAAAGGGGTTATTTCCTTAACTACTTGAAAAGGGGGAAGTGTTAAATGGATGAAAGACCTACATGTAAGACAGGAACCCGTCAAAATCTTCAAGGAGAAAGCAGGCAAAAACCTCTTTGACCTTGGCCACAGCAACTACTTACTCAACACATCTCTGGAGGCAAGGAAAACAAAAGCAAAAATGAACTGCTGGGACCTCATCAAAATAAAAAGCTTCTGCACAGCAAAGGAAACAATCAGCAAAACTAAAAGGCAACCGACAGAATGGAAGAAGATATTTGCAAGCGACACATCAGATAAATGGTTAGTATCCAAAATCTATAAAGAACTTACCAAACTTAATACCCAAAAAACAAATAATCCAGTGAAGAACTGGGCAAAAGTCATGAACAGACACTTCTCCAAAGAAGACATCCACATGGCCAACCAAAACAAGAAAAAATGCGCAACATCACTTATGATCAGGGAAATACAAATCAAAACCACAATGAGATATCACCTCACACCTGTCAGAATGGCTAACATTAACAACTCAGGCAACAACAGATGTTGGTGAGGATAAGGAGAAAGGATCTCTTTGGCACTGCTGGTGGGAATGCAAACTGGTGGAGCCACTCTGGAACACAGTATGGAGGCTCCTCAAAAAATTAAGAATAGAACTACCCTACAACCCAGCAATTGCACTACTAGATAGTTATCCAAGGGATACAGGTGTGCTGTTCCGAAAGGGCACATGCATCCCAATGTTTATAGCAGCACTATCGACTATTAATAGCTAAAGTATGGAAAGAGTCCAAATGTCCATTGATGGATGAATGGATAAAGAAGATCTGGTGTGTGTGTGTGTGTGTGTGTGTGTGTGTGTGTGTGTGCATGTGTGTGTACACACACTAGAGTGTTATTCGGCAGTCAAAAAGAATGAAATCTTGCCATTCGCAACTACATGGATAGAACTAGAGGGTATTACGCTAAGTGAAATTAGTCAGTCAGAGAAAGAAAAATATCATACAACTTCACTTGTCTGAGGACTTTAAGACACAGAACAGATGAGCATAAGAGAAGGGAAGCAAAAGTAATATAAAAACGAGGAGGGGGACAAAACATAAAAGACTCTTAAATATGGAGAACAAACGGAGGGTTACTGGAGGGCTGTGGGAGGGGGGATCGGCTAAATGAGTAAGAGGTATTAAGGAATCTACTCCTGAAATTATTGTTGCACTATATGCTAACTAACTTGGATGTTAATTTAAAAATAAATTTAAAAAAAGAGGGAAATGTTAACAAATTATTTTTAATACAAAATATTAATATCCTACTTTAAGTGTGATACACATTCAATCAACTGAACACTCAAAAGATTCATTTCAGACCTTCTCTGTTCACATGTTATGGGAATACAAATAAGGCTACTGAGAGATATGGTCCCTAGCCTTACAGAAAAAGAGATGATCCTGGTGTGGGTTTCTATTTAAATGACTCAATTTAGTTCCCTTGGGAGATATCTGTGTATATCAATGTGTTTTTAGGATTAGAAAAGAAATAATTCTACCATGAGTCCCACCAGAGATTTGCAAATGGTTTTCAACAGGGTTTATCATTTCTTGACATGATGGTTAAGTGATGTATGCTTAAACCTTGAAAAAAATATCAAAGCCAGTTATTCCAGTGCTCCTAAAAAAATAAGATAACATTTCTTTGAATTTGGCACTCATATTTTTGGATCTACTTTTATTTCTATTGCTAACCTCTGCTTCAGTCCCAACCTGATTCAGAAGGAGACTAGTGTGAGGATTTAATCAAAATCTTTAGAGATACTTGTAGCTTGAGATGATGAAAGCTAAGACATAAAACAACAATCATCTGATGTGCTGGCATGCATCCAAATTACCCAAAGTGGGTGTTTAAGTAAAGGCTCTCAGATTCCTCTCTGAGAGATTTTAATTCCACAAGTTTACTTGGCAATCAAGAACCTGTTTTTAGACAGAATACATTTTGAGAAATGTTAGCTCCAGAATTACCATCATCACAGAATTAGGGTTCCTATTTTCCCTTCTATCTCTGTCATTCTCAAAAGTGCCAGAAATATTGCCATTTGTTTTGATATTTCTGAAATGAAACTAAATGCTGATCTCCACAATACATAGTCTTAAACAATATACACCGATGTTTCTGCCCACTTCCCACTAGACAGAGAGATGAATGAATACATAGCAAAGGAAGAGAGATGTATATAATAGACCCAACCACCTATTATTTAACATATATTAAAGAAAGCAGGTATTTTGCCTACAAATCCTAAAGTAATTCAAGTGCTTCAACATTCTCCCTTTCTGAGACACACTCCAAAATTCTGTCCTAAAAAAAAAGAAGGAAGCCATTGAAAGAAATTCACAAAAAAGTTTCTTAGGAGATTTTAGTTATTAACGATAGTAGTTAGCTTACCTGCCATCCCTCTGGGCAGCACCACCTTCTGTTACTGTCTTGACAAATATTCCCAGCTTTTCAAGTCCGGCATCTGCTCCGACACCCATTCCAATAATGCTTATACCAAGTCCATCCTCATCTATGAGAAAGGGGGAAAAAATACAACCACCTAAGTTTTATACGTAAGTTAGCTGGGGAGACTTCTATGTTGCTTTTAATTTTGTTCTTTATGGACTATAGGACATGCCTGCCTTGGCAGAATATTTGTTTCTACTGCTGGGGAGAGAAAGATGTCAAATAAGACTCTCCAAAAGGCTTGTGGGTTTAATCTCATTTTATTACCGCAGGTGGCTATCGTTGTAATCCCAAGAAAAAGTAATAATTGGATTACAGATGTTTCTTCAGCCCTTATGTTAAGAATATTTGTGGGGTGCCTGGGTGGCTCAGTTGGTTAAACGTCTGACTTTGGCTCAGGTCATGATCTCATGGTTCGTGGGTTCGAGCCCCGCGTCGGGCTCTGTGCTGACAACTAGCTCAGAGCCTGGAGCCTGTAGTCAGATTCTGTATCTCCCTCTCTCTCTGACCCTCCCCAGCTTGCTCTGTCTCTCTCTGCTCTCAAAAATATATAAAAAGAAACATTAAAAAAAAAAGAACGTTTGCCCACACATGATTTCCCATACTGATTTCATTCTCACTGTGTATCTGGTATAGATATTTCTGTTCATCCAGAGGCTGCCTCTTGTTAAAAATTTTCCTACATTCATTACAGCCTTACAGGCTCTCCTCAGAATGAATTTTCTTGTGAAAGGGAAACTTAGATCCATACTACAGGCTCTTCTTCACTGGTCACGTGGACAAAGTTTTTTCTCCCCCACAGGAATTCTCCTGTGTATACAAAGGTGAGCTGCACAGCTGAATTCTTACCCATATCCATCATACTCATGGGGTTTGCTAGAGTGTGAATTTGTTTGTGTTGGTGACAGGCTGAATGGTGGCCCAAAGCCTTCCCACAGTGTTTACACACGTGTGAGATTTTTTCCCCGGAGCGTCTGCTCTTGTGTTTAAGAGCCGATCACTGTAGACTCATCCACATTAAATAATGCCATCAGGTTCCTCTCATATATGAAAGCTGATACATATTGAGCATTTAGCCAAATTCTTGTTCACATTCATTATATTTATAGGAGTTTCTTTTCATTGTGAATTATCACATGTGAAGCCAGTGTTGAGCTATAAGTGAAACTTTCCCATACTCAGTACATTCAAAGATCTCCTTTCAAATGTAGATTCTCTGTGCCATAACACTATTAAGTAGTTCCTTCCTGCAAATATCCTGCATGAAAATTATTTCTTGTTTTTTAAGTGCATTTTCCCTGCCTGAACTCAGGCTTCAGTAAAATTATCTTCCTTCCTTCCTTAGGCATCCCTGGTTGCTGTCACTGGAAAATTACTCAGATTTTCAGAGCTGAAAACCCAATTGTAGGAAAAGCAATAAGAGCTTGAGCTGTCCTCAATTCCAGTGCAGACTACCTGAAAGACAAGATGATAACTCAAAGGCAATTAAAGGAAGAATAAAATCAACCCACAGCGACCAGATGACTGATTTCATCTCTGTAAAGCTCTCTGGGAGATGTGTCAAGCATAGATCAAGTCCAGGGCCACATCTTGAAGGCCACCGATTCTTGTGACTGTCAGGAACCCATCACCCATCCAGTCTTCCTCTGAGTAGGGACAGGCAGGACACTAAGTAAGCAGGCAAAGCAGCCAGAGACTGTGAGGCTGTGTTTCCATGCACCACACTCTGGAGCTCAGAGCTTATTTTTTTCTCTCAGGGAAGAAGCTCATGTTGGCTTAGCATTGCTCATGAGATTTCAGCTTGTAGTCATAGGAAAGTGGGTCATTAGATGTCCTTTTTGTTAAACTGCCAATTTTTCTACTGAGTTTCCCTATCTTTCTTTTCTCATAATTTGCAAAGATTCTTAGCATATGATACATATTAACTTCATGTCATCTATAATGAAGATGTCCCCTCTCAAACTCATTACTTATCTATTTACTCTGTTTGACAATATTGCCTTTAGAAGCTTAAAATTTTGGATGATTGATTGGTCCCACTTTTGGTTAAGTCTTTCCATCCAGATGCCTACATGATATATGCAATCTTATACGTTTTTTGTCAAAATCCTTATTACTTTATTTTTAATAGCTAATTATCTAATCCACAGAGTTATTTTTTATATAATGAAAATGAAGGTGCCCAACTTTATATTCTTTCACACAGATGCTCAGTTATGCCAGAACCATTTGTAAAACACCCTATTCTCTTTTCTAAAAACTGTATTATTATTACTTCATTGGTTTTCTCTTTTTTTTGACAGAGAGAGACAGAGAACACAGTGGAGGAAGGACAGAGGATGAAAGAGACAGAATCTCAAGCAGGCTCCACACTCAAGGCGGAGCCCGACATGGGCTCAGTCTCAAAACCATGAGATCATGACTTGAGCCAAAATCAAGAGTCAGATGCTTAACCAATGGAGCCACCTAGGCGTCCCTATTATATTGTTAAGGAATCTACTTCTATCATGTCATGAAGCCCAGACTTGGTTTACAATAATGAGTCCTGGAGGTAACTATACCCAACTCTGGACTGTCTTTTCTCTCTACCTCAACTGAAAACCCCAAACTCTTAAGACCTCAATCCCTGCTTCTCTATTCTAAGAAGAGGCCAAAGCCAAAGCCCACTATGTAGGAGGCTTTTTCAGGGAAGACAACTTTGTCTTCCCAGACAACAAACCCTCTACTTTGCTTTATGAGGCAGATAGCAACCCCAAACCACAGACAGGTTGGGACCTGCGCAGGCCTCAATGGCATATTAGTATATCATAAATGTCATGTTTTAAATTCTCTTGCATAACATTTTTCTCTGGATTTTCTATTTTGTTCCACTGATCAATTGCTATATGAATACAATTTGTTGTGATTATAGAGGCTTTACATTATATTCAGATATTTAAGAAATTAAAACTTTCCACATTCTTTTTCATACTTCCCTTAGGTCTGTATTTTTCCATATAAAATTTAGTATTAGATTATGCAATCCTCTCTCCCAATCCAACTCTGATGGCATTCCATTTGAACTGCATTAAATTTATAATTTCATTTATAGGTATCAGAGATGCAGAATAGGAGAGACTTTTCCATACTGTCTTTCAAAAAATCCAAGAACATGGTATATCCTTCTTCTATTTGCTTAGATCTTATATCTTTCAAAAAGATGGATTTTCAACAGGTAAATACTGTTTTTCTTAGTGCTTAATAAGTACTTGGTTGTTTTTGTGCTATTGTAAATGAAATGTTCCCATTTTCATATTTATGTTCTTAACGTAAATATAAAAAAAACTATTAATTTTCTTATATGTATGTGGCACCTGACCTCCTCTTACTTAAAATCTTATCAATTTTAATATGTTAAAATTAGAACCAGTTTGGCTTTTCATTATTTAGTTTTCATATATATGTAATTATAATAAATATATCATATGATATATAAGCAAAAGGTTACTTGTCATCTTTTGGTTCTATTATTTCTACTAATTACTACATTTAAAGAGCATTCCAAATCAGACTTCTGGTTTTAACTGAAATATTGTTTGTGCTTCCTCAATGTATTTACTTTTTAAGAGTTTCCTCAGTTTAAAAGTAAAATTCTCTGTTGGTAATATGGTCTACAGTTTGCATCAAATTTAGGGATTTATACACTAACAATGAACTATCATAAAGAGCAATTAAGAAGATATTTCCATTTACAATTGCATCAAAAAGAATAAAATACTTAAACTTAACCAAGGAGGTGAAAGATCTAGATACTGAAAGCTCTAAGACATTGATGAAAGAAACCGAAGACATAGATAAATGGAAAGATTGTCCATAGTCAAGGATTCACAGAAATTAATATTGTTAAAATGTCTATTCTACCCAAAGCAATCTGTAAATTCAATGCAATCTCTATAAAAATTCTAGTGATATTTTCCACAGAAATAGAATAATTATAAAATTTGTATGGCACCACAAAAAATTGCAAACAGCTAAAGAAAACTCAAGGAAGAAGAACAAAGGTGGTTTTAAACTATATTTCAAAGGAAAAGCAATCAAAACAGTATGGTACTGCCGTAAGATCCATGGAACAGAATAGAGATCCCTGAAATAAACCTAAGCATATTTGGTCAGTCAATTTATGACAGAGAAGCCAAGAATATATCATGGGGAAAGAATAGCCACTCCAATAAATGGGAAGCCACATATAAAAGAATGGACCCCTTTCTTATATTACATGCCAAAATTAACTCAAAAATAGATTAAAGACTTACATTTAAGACTTGAAACCATAAAACTCCTAGGAGAAAAGACAGCAGGTAACTTCCTTAACATCAGCCTTTGCAATGACTTTTTGGATTTGACACCAAAAGCAAAAATAGGTAAATGGGACTGCATCAAACTCAAAAGCTTCTGCACAGCAAAGGAAACCATTAACAGAATGAAAGACAGCCTACAGAATGGGGGAAAATATTTGATAAGGGGTTAATATCCAAAATATATAAAAAACTCATGAAACTTAATAGCAACAAAAACCAAACCCAATTAAAAAGAGGTGGGAGAAGGGGTACCAGGGTGGCTCAGTCGATTGAGCATCCAACTTTGGCCCAGGTCATGATCTCACAGTTTGAACCCCACATCGGGCTCTGTGCTGACAGCTCAGAGCCTGGAGCCTGCTTTGGAATCTGTGTCTCCCTCTCTCTCTTCTGCCCCTCTCCCACTCCATCTCTCTCTCTCTCTCTCAAAAATAAAATAAAACTATTAAAAAAAAAAAAAGAGGCAGAAGAAGTGAATGGACACTTTTCCAAAGAAGATATATGAATGGCCATCAGGTACATCAAAAAGTGCTCATCACTAACCATCAGGGAAATGCAAATCCAGATCACAATGAGAAATCACCTTAGAATGTTAGAATGGCTATCATCCAAAAAACCAGATATAACAGGTGTTGGCAAGGATGCAACGGAAAGGGAACACTTGTGCGCTGTTGCTGAGAATGTAAATTGGTGAGGTCACTTCGGGAAACAGTATGGAGGCTCCTCGAAAACTTAAAATAATTGTACTTTATTTGGTCTCTTCCAGCTTAATTTTTCTGATTTAACTTTTATTACGGACAACACAAACAAGAGTTATGAAAACATTTATCTACAAAATATTGTGTTTAAAGAAGAAAATAAAACAAACATCCATTTACTAACAAAGACCCAGAACATTACCAACACCCAAAAAGCCCACTATGCACTCCTCCCTCATACCATAACTCTTCCCTCGGTAACCGTGACCCTAAATATTGTGTCAATAATTCCCTCCTTTTTAATTTTTATATCTTTACTTATTTTATTTTGAAGAGAGTGGGTGGGGAAGAGTTGCAATGGGGGAGTGAGAGAATCTCAATCAGGCTCCATACTCAGGCATGGAACCTGATACAGGCCTTGATCTTACAACTCAGGCAGGGATCATGACCTGAACCAAAATCAAGAGTTGGACGCTTTACCAACTGAGCCACCCAGGCGCCCCTCACTCCTTCCTTTTTTAAATACTGCTTTTTGAAACCACTTACTTGTGTATCTCGAAAGAATACACCGTTTAATTCTTCCTGGCTCTGACATTTAAATAAACGGAATTACCTGGAATGGATTCTTCTGTGATTTGCTTTTTCCCCACTCCAATTTCATGTTTGTAAGAATCATACACATTGCTGCGGGGAACTGAGGCTCCTTCATTTTACCCTTTTCTATCATTAATGGATATTTGTATTATTCTCATTTTTGTTATACTGTAAACAATACGACGGCCCATGGCCAAATCTAGCTGTTTTCATATGGGCCATAAGCTAGGAATGGTTTTTACATTTGTAAATGAATGAAAAATGTCAGTATCACTCTTACATCCTTGTTAACTTCAAATGAGAGCGTCTCTTAATAGGAACAATTAGCCAGTCATGTTTGGTGCAGTGACGGGTATTCTTTACATTTTTTTAATCCAAGTAATTTGATGCCTAATAGTTACAGTTTTCAACTCTTTTTTCCCTGACCTTTGCTGTTTCGAACAAGTTGTACCTTGTTTCTCTTCTTCCCTGATAATTGGGAAGGAGACAGGTGACATGTTATTTAAATCCTTAGATAGCAGCAACTCTCTTTCTTTCACCAGGATAGACAAATGCTCTCTGGTTTGGTTGGAGGATTCCCAGACGCATGAAATTCTATGTTGCCTCCCACTCCCAGGGTTACGAATGAGACATCTGATGCTAATCTAACAATTTTCTTCTGCGAGCACCTTTACTTCTTCATTTGCTTTGATTGTAGTGTGGTATTTTGTAAAATCTGTACTTTAATTTGAAGATGAGGATTTAAGCACACCTAAGTGTGGGATATTTTTTAAGTCCTCTCACTGCTCATCAATTGGCTAGGCCCTTCCAAATAGGAGGCTCTGGTCTTTTTGAGCTCAGGAAAATTTCTTCCATGTTTTGTGTAATATGTCTCTCATCCTCTACAGTCTTTTCCTCTTCTGTCACCTACAATTTACATGTTGGGACTCCTTCATGATTTCTCGTGGACCTTTGCTCTATTGTTTTAAGAATTAGTTTGGTTTATTTCTTACATTTGACCTTCTAGGCCACCAGTGTGAGTCTCAACAATACCATCTTTTCCTCTTCAATTCCTCTACTGAAATTTTTAATTTTAAAATCATTTGGGGCGCCTGAGTGGTTCAGTCGGTTAAGCGTCGGACTTCAACTCAGGTCATGATCTCATGGTTCGTGAGTTCAAGCCCCACATCAGGCTCTGCGCTGAAGTGCAGAGCTTCCTTGGGATGCTCTCTCTCCCTCTCTCCCCCTCCCCTGCTTGCTCTTTGTCTCCAAATAAATAAATAAACTAAAAAAAAATCATTTTTGCTGTTGATTTGCTTAAGAATGTCTTTTTAAAGCCATATTTGATATCCTTATTTGGTTTTACATTTGCTTCTTTTTGTTATTCAAGCTGCATCTGCTCTGCATTTTTTCCAAGGCTCTCTAAGATGTGATATCTCCCTGTTCAGTGGGTCCCCCTCCACTCCTGGGCACCATCCTTAGACAGGGACAGACATGGAAGTCTCTGGGCCCATGGGTCCTCACTTCTCACCGCAGGCAGGCTGGGATTCCAAGAGGAGAAATCGAGAGGAAGCCCCTCAGCTCCCGTTCCCCCTGCTCTCCGTTAGCCCTCTCCCCTCAGAAATAAGAAGATTCCACTGCCTTCATTCCAAACTCTATAATCTAAAGGCCCAGCACTCTCCCATCTACCAAATGCAGAGTCCAACCATGACCACTCTCCCTCCATCAAGAACTCAAAAACAAAAACAAAACCACCACCTGTCCCAAGCTCTCGCATCTCCCCACTCCCTCTGGACTCTCACCTTTGCAATGGTACCGATCAAACCTGCGGCCCCACCCCCCACCTCCGGACACCTAGTCACCATCAGGCCACCAAAGCAGATGGCTTTCTGCTGGGAGTGGGAGGGACGGAAGAGTCTTTCAGTCTACCATCTATACAGAGCTCATATCAACTACTTTCGAAATTTAATAAATAAATTAAATCTTCCAGAAGAATTAAAACTTTATCCAACCCTTGGGGAGAAAGGGGCTACATCTAGCAGGGGAAAAAAGTCATTTCTGTATTACTAAAATAGCAATATAATGCTATTACAAACATGTAGAGCTCATCTACCTTTCTCTAGTTCCACTGGGAAAAGTTCCAGCTTTTCTACACGCTTTTCAAGTTCATACTCAGCAGAAGCAGCCACGGGGTCCACTTCATCGTTTCTCCTGTCATAGTCTTCGTTGGAGAATGTGCTGAAAACCTGTAGAAGAGGTCACAAGAAGATGATAATCCAGAAAAGACAGTGTTCTTAATTTTTTTTAAAAAACGCTGCTAAGTACTGAAAACCAGGTAAGTTAAAAATTTTGTATAGTGAGATGTTAGGAAAAGGAAAATTGAATCAGAATAAAGATAACTTACATTTTAAAATGTATGTTATTCTACCACCTTTAGCAATTGGGGAGACAATGGTAGCCACAGGATATATTATCTGAATAGCAAAATGCATTCCCTTTTACAGAATCAGAGTATACTGATTCGCTGCAAGGCGATGCTGGTTCCTGAAGGAACTACGGTGAAGGACCCTGATGAGACCCAAGCAAGTACCCACACTGAACCCATGTCATGCTATGACCTATACGTGCCCCGATGTTGTGGTATGTCACTGCTATAATTATATTTCAATCACAGAATCACTGAAACCGACTTCTATTCTGTACTGTGCTGAGCTGTGTTAAGCTCTCATTTTCATCTCTTATTTTACTTGCATGTAGATCCAAATTAGATTCTCATTGAGCCTGTCAATGAGATGACTATAAAAAATATTGCTCAAGAGGTACAGAGAACTAGGATATTGCCAGCTCTGACCTAAATCATTTGAAAGATTACTAAATGTGGTCTTCAGATGTAGCCATAAGAAACTTGATTGTCCTTATTTGTTCTATTTGAAAACTAACTGGAAATAGGTATACTATCCCTCACTTAATTCACTGACGAATATCTAAAAGAAAGAAATGTATACTCATCAAGTCCAATTAATATGTATTACAAAAACTAACATTTTCAATTAATTTTAATAATTATTAAGTATCTAAACTATGCCTGAAAAAAAAAACTCTGTTATGTCCCCCAAATCTTAAAATCTAGGGAAAGTTATTTTTTTAATAAATAGACATAAGAGATCATAATAAAAAAAAAAAAGAAAGCAGAACAGAAGGTCAGAGATGAAAGAAACCAAGTCTGTCACCTAGAAAAGCTGGCCCTGCTGGTCCAGGTGTGTTTTATATTCATATTATTGGGAAACTGGCAAGTCTTGTATGCTGTACATGGTAACCTATAAACCAGAAATACATGTATATATGGAAGCACATGTAGTGTGGTTCCTATGGTATAAATTTATTAAAATCATGTCATTTGTAATATTTTTGTAAGACTGTTTTTCTTCCTGACTTTCAACATGTTTTCATGGCCTCATGCCACTCATTTGGTCTCTACCACATTTCTCCACCATAACAAACATCACTGCACCAAAATGCATATGTCCAAACTATAGGGTTTGTACCTTTTTTATTAATCTTTTCATAAAATATGCTTCCTATGCCGCTTCCACAGAACCCTCTAATATTTTTCTTAAGTTGTCAGATTGATAACATTCTCTTAGACAGCCCTTTTGATCTTTCACTTCTCTTATAAGTTTTGGTAATCACTTATTCACATTTATACATCCATCAAAACTTTACTGAGTGTCAGCTCTATGCCAAACACTGTGCTGGACCCTGGAGAAGGCACAGTCTCAAGTAACTCACAGCTCAGCAGGGCCACAGAAGCCAAAGTAAACAGCTACAATATAATGTGATAAATGATGGAACAGAAGATGATGCAAAGTCATCTTTCTCATTCGCCTGAGAAAGGGAAGAATTCCATGAAGGGGAAAATCTTTGAGTTGAGTCTTAAAGAATAAACAAGGATTCATATATTTGAGTGGTAGAAGATGTAGAAGGTTTACTTCAAATATAAGATCCTAGACAAAATAATCCCTATCTATATCTAAATTTTTAGAAATGCAGAGAGCTTAGCAGAGTACAAGGGAACATGCACAGGGAAGCAAACTTTAGCAGCACACAAAAAGTTAGCTGGATCTGGAACTTACATGCTCTGGAAATTACTGGCAAATATGACTAGAAATTATTCCATTAATGTTTGCTACTTGTCAAAATCTGCTAAAGGTCCAAGAATATATATATGATTGCAGAACCTGGATTTAAATGATACCCATTTGGAAACATGTCCCAATCTTGCTACCACATAGTAATTAAGTTAATAAATAAATGTGTGTGTGTAAAATATAAGTATGGGAGAACTGTTTCAAATAAGTTAACACCTTCCTGACTTTTCTTAGGATCCCAAAACACTCTGCTATCAAATGCTTTTCCTCAGTCAGGCTGGTTTATAAAGATCATTTGGGGGTATCCTGGAATAAATTAAACAAACAACTATATGACTCCATATTGGAAAATGATATTTTAAATAATTTTTGAGGCATCTAGCAATCAGATGACTATATCACCATTTCATTCTGTAGAAAAAAAAATAACGTGAGATACTTTTCATCTTCAACTTGCTCGTAGTGTGGCAAATTACATGGGTATTTAGGAAAAATCTATAAATTGAAAAAGAAACACCAGAATTCATTATGTGCAGATTACGCTATCATTTACTTGAAGAATCCAAAAGATTTAACATAAACATGATTAGGACTGAAAAGAATTCAGTAAAGTAACGTAATAAAAAATACACACCCAAAAACACCTGAAAAATTTAGAAAATAAAACAGAAAAGATCAGAAACTATAAAATACCCAGGAACTACTAGTTATAAATGTGCAAGGATATCCTTCTCTAGGGGCGCCTGGGTGGCTTAGTCAGTTAAGCGTCCGACTTTCGCTTAGGTCATGATCTCGCGGTTCGTGGGTTCGAGCCCCGCGTCAGGCTCTGTGCTGACTGCCAGCTCAGAGCCTGGAGCCTTTTTCAGTCTGTGACTCCCTCTCTCTCTGACCCTCCCCTGCTCACGCTGTCTCTCTCTCTCTCCTAGAAATAAATAAAACATTAAAAAAAATTTAAAAAAAAAGGATATCCTTCTCTATAAAATTTAACTGAAAAGTACAAAAAGCCTTAAATACGTCTAATGGCATACTATATCCTGGATAAAATTCTTAATATTATAAAGGCATCTACACTCCTAAATTACTGTAAATGTTAGTTTGTCTCAATTTAATTTATGAAGACAGGGCAGTCAAAATTAAAATCCCACTCACATTTTTCATGGAAAACTAACAAGATGCTTGAAAAAAAGAATAGGATAGAAACAGACCCTATGAGATCTCAAACATACAATAAAACTTCATTTATTAAGGCAATGCAGGTTTGGCCCCAAGGTAGATCTATTTTTGTATTCTATTCTGTTCTATTCCTCTACTTCTCTATTCAAATTAGTTAGGATGATCTATTCAATAAAGAGTAGGAAAAGAATGAAATATCTATCTGATAAAAATCCTATTTCATATCAATAAGTAAAATAAAAAATTGTTAAGAACAAAAAAATTATAATCTATAAGAGGGCTAAAGAAAATATGGACAATGTTTAATTGGCTGGATCCTTTTAGGATGTTGCTACAGAGGCACAGATACTAGAAATCTTAAAAGAAATGAATAAACTATTTGATTAACATTCAATGCTAAAAATTTCTAGACTACAAATACACCATAATGAAATTATAAGAAAAGTCAAATATTAGGAGAAAAAATGCCAAATATCAAGATGAAATATGAACATGTATAATATATAAAGAGCTTTACCACCTCAAACAACTGTATGTATCAGTAGGGAAAAATTTAATTAGAACTCAATGAGAAACATTAATGCTCAATAAATAATGTAAAGTCATTCAGCTTCACTAAAAATTAAGCCAATGTCAACTACAACAAAGAAATACCAGGAATTCGCCCAAATGAATGGTTAAAAAAAGCTATATTGTGAGAATATAGGAAAATGAATGGTTAAAAAAACTATACTGTGAGACTATAGGTAAAAGAATACTCTTGGAAAAACAGGGGAGGAAGAAACATAATTTGAGAACAGCTATCAAGATTTTAAATGTAAATGCGTCTGACCTAATAATGATACATCTATGTATTTAGAGAGATACTTGCAAATGTGTACAAAGATGTGCATGCAGCGAGTTCAGTACAGCATTATCTGTAATAGCCCCGAGTTGGAAACTGCCTAAATGTCCACTGATAAAGAAAATGTCTTACTGAATTATGATACATATGAATATGTAACATTATGCAAAGATTAAAAAGATCTCTGTTGACATGCAAGGCTCTGAAATACATGTTGTTACAACAAAAAAGCACACTGTACATGTCTACTTATACCCGTACTCATATCTTTATCTACATATATATAGTCTCAATGGGTATGAGCCCACTTGTAATTTAATTTGAAGACTTCCTAAATTCTCTAGCTATGTAGCTCTTGTCTCAGTTTCCTTATTTACAAAATGGCTGTTATTATAAGTATACCTACCCCATAAGGTTATTGTGGAAATGAAATGAGATAATCCGTGTAATCATGCTTGGTCCAGTGTGGAGGAGGGAGAGCTTGCCCAGGGCAATGCAAGAGATAATACTACTTCCCCAGATATCCACACTCATCTCCTACTCTTGTTTATAACCAAGTTTTGAATATTTCATCCACAATGATGCTTAATGTCCCTGAAACCAAAATCTATATAACTATTTTGATATTATTATATAGACTGGTCTGCCCAAACCCCTACCTATGTCCAGAACAACGCACTGCCCCTACACAAGGGCTCACCACTTGCCCTGGCTTTGTTTGCCTTGACTAGGAAAAACCTCAGAGATAAAAGGGATGCTGACTTAGGTAAGTACTTCCCTTTTCATCAATATGAGCTTGATTCTTTCAATATTCTTACAATGGTTCTATCATTACTATTTATATTACCATAACTGCTTTGCAAAAAATATGGATAATCACATAATAATAAGAACCCAATTATGATATTACTTGAATGCCAAGAACTCTAAAGGGTAAGAGCTCTCTGGGTCCTAATGTTCAACACCACCACTATAGATATATATATTCATCACTATATATATTTAGTTCAGTCACCTTCATATTGTTTCTGTGTTATTTCACTGAGAAAAGCAAACAAAAGGAAGTTTAAGTCTGGCGTCT